CTCTGTTAGATGTTAAGTCTTGGATGCAATACATGACATGCTCTGTCCCTTCTGAAGCTGTTTTCAGTGGATAAATCTCCTTTTAACCTATGCTGTGTGATCTTAGTGAAATTCAGCTAACTGAACTCAATAAGCAGTATTTTTATTGGGAAAAAAAAGTTATTCAGTCTCTTTCATGCTAGTAAGCCATGGCCAAGAATGGCCTGTACATAGTGATCCTCCTTGTGGAAGTGCTTTTAGACCAGACTCTGCTTTCCCCTGCTCCCTATACTGAAGTAATTCCAAATATTTTTTTAAGTGTAAAATTTCAGTTGTCTTATTTGCGTTGTTGGTTGGTCTCTAGTATAGTGTGGCCAATTATAAGAACAGATTTCTAAATTTCAAGGAAGTGGTACCTGTTTGACTAAATAAAAGTGTAGAAGGATGGAGTGGCAGCTGTTTCTTCTGCTTGTGCTTTGGAAGAAGTAACTGATGTAGCCATTGGGCTCTAAGCAGAGGTTCAAGGTTGCAAATCCCAGTCAGAGAGAGATGCATCTTAGTTACTGCAATTACAGCTGGAAGAATAGGGGTGAGGAAGGAATTTGCTCCTTAATGGTGTACTTCCTGTCATTCATGCTGAAGTGTGGATGTTTCTTGCACCCCCTTCTTAAGTATTCAACTACAATCTGTAGAAGAAAATTATTTTCCTGAATCTTGCTCCCAGAACATAAACACCATAAAATAACAACCCAAAAGATGGTGCTAATATATTGCAAGGTTTGCTTTTCATTAAGACTATTTTGAGATGTGTTATACTAGACACCTGTCAAAAAAATGGTTTTAGAATCATGGTTACTTTTATGAATATAAGAAACTTACCTTCAAAGAATCCTTGGGACATTATTGCTGGTAAGAAAATTCTTTGTATTATTTAAAACATTTTTAGTAACATAACAAAAGCAACTGTCATGTAAATTAGCCAGTTATAAGAAATTACCCAAGTCTTGTGGAAGTTTTTCAAGTGAAAGAAGGAGTTTAAATTAGAGGACAGAGTTTTGACTCTACTTTCAGTTTTAATTGTCCAGTATTAGTAAGGATTTAAGAAATAGCAGTTTCCAGGTGAAGGTACCAAGTCTGTTCTGTAGTTGTATTTTAGATGCAGCACATCTTCGTAATCAAAGGGCAGGAATCTTAACTGTGCAAAGCTAAAACTTAAAAGCAGGTAGTAGCTAGCAAACGTGATCAGAGCAACGGGCACAGAACTTATTTGTTAACTTAACTTCCAAATTGTTATCTTCAGTCTACTTTTTTCTTCTCAGATCACCTGTTTTGTTTCTTCAGTCAGGGTGTAACATGGACTACTACTGTTCTATGACCTCTTGGTAAAGCAAATGCTTTGTTCAACTGGCAAGTAATTGAGAAACTTCTTAAATATATTCTGCCAGCAAGAGAGTTATAATTGAAAGGATAGTACCTCTATCCAGGGTATAAAAAATGCATTCATGGTAAGAGTGCATTCATGACAAATTAACATGTATCATCATATAAAATGGTAATTACAGCTTGTAAATCTTGGGTGGACTTGGAAAGGCATTATTAAAAGCTAGTGACAAGGTTCAAAGAGGATGGAGGTAAAAAATGTTGCCCACAGGATTTTTCTTTTCTGGGACAGTCTGCTAATGCAGACAATGTATCTCCAAGAACAGTAGATAACTTTAAAATTAGAAATAACATGGTATTACATCCTCTGCTACTACCTTTTGAGTTTGGGATCTGAGAGGGTAGTAACAATACTACTGCTTATGCTTAATTTTCTGCATTTTATTTTGCTATGGAACTTGGATCCAGTCTAAATGACAAATATTTTGTCAGCAAAAATAGTATTTTTGAATAATCTGCATCTAGGCACTCAGGGCACTGTTGGAAAAACGCAGTCTACCATAATACATCACTGGATCAACTGTTCTACTAGCATGAGTAGCATTATCTGCATGGCTTTGCCAATCCACCCTTCGGGGGCCAGCCTTTTGTTCTTATTGCCTTGTCACAATTTCTTGGTATAGTTTTTACAGGTACTATGCTGCTGTCCTCTCAGAAGCTAGACACTTCTAGAGGCATCTGGACACAGAACAAGTACTCTCAGGTATGAACATAACTTGATTTTCATCAGTGAGGCTGGCTATTTTCTGTACAACAGAACATGCTCAGTCTTCTGCAGAACTTAGTAAAAGGGAAGAAGAAATCAAGAGGGAAGAAGAAATGGAGTAGGGGAGAGTATCATCTTGGATTATGATGCAGTTGGAAGAAGCTAGAAGGTAGCCTGGACAGAGGAGTACTAGGCAAACATGAGTAACCACTCTACTCTAGAAACTATTGCACGAAGAAACTTTTCCCTAGGGTTTGGTTTATACGGTAGGTACTCAGTCCTGTGTGGCAACTTTAAATGCCAACTTAAGCCATATCATAGTGCTACTTTCCTTCAGCCACTATAGGTCATGTCTCTATTTAGCTTTTATGTTGACCTGCATTTCTTGTGGTGTTCAGCAGCTGCACATCATTTTCCTGTGTGTTTTCCAAAAGTGTGTATTCTTCTTCTGAAGAAGAGTGATTTTTATTTTAAATTATGCTTTACTCAGCAGACTCGACACCTCCCCATACCTCCTTTTCAGCTCTGCATTTATTCACCATGCTCCACTCAATGGCTACAAGCACAATCAACTGGTATACTGTCTGCAGCTTGTCAGCTAAGAGATGTGATCTGCTTTGTCCACTGCAGGTACCTTTCCTGGTGAAGGTTCATAGAAGAAGCTGGCTGAAACAAGTATTCAAAGACAGATTTTCTCCTCAATAGCAGTTCATTTGTGCTGTGAACTGTACAGTGTCTGTCTGGTGGTTACAAGGACACAGAGCTGGTAAGAAGGTGTGCATGTACTCTGACAAAACCATAGCAGAGTCACAAAAGGTTTCACCTCTTAGTCACTTTAAAAGTAGGTCATTCTGCAGTTAGTCAGAAATCTTGTGGTGTTGATAATCTGTCAAAGCAGTGCTTAAGAGTAACAGAGAAGTAGACTTACAACTCTCAATGTGCTTAAGGTACAGAAATAGAGGTACTAAAACTGCAGTTTAGCCAAACTCAGGCAAAATAAAAAATTTTATTAGAAGTATTCAATATAGCACCACACAAAAGGTACGCTGTGCTTTGTATTGCCTCTAAGGAACATGATAGAGCACTTTCAAACTAGAAAAACTAATGTAAAAAGCTTTCTTGTTCATCAGCAGAGCTTACTGTTTTGCTGTTTAGAGAAGCTATTCTGAAAGAACCATAGCTTTTGTACATAATGTTTTAATGATCACCTAGGTAGATTAAGCATTGTTACCCATTAGTTCTTTTTCATCTTCTGGGGTTTGAGCTTTGTTCAAAAAAGCCTCACTTTGGCTGAGGTGCTTTCAGGAAAAGCGTTCAGTCCAGAACTTTTACCAGCATATGCAATTGACAATGTTACTAGTCAGCTGCTAAATTCTGTTTCCTGAAAAAGTAACAGAATTTTGATCAATGGTAATGGTGTGAATTGGGGTCTATGAATCAAACCCAGGCAAACTGAGAAAGATTTGGAATCAACTCTTAATTTTGTCTTGGTCTCAAAGATAAACAAGGAATACATACTTGATAAAATTACAGATAAACTGCATTATAGAAAAAACACGGGTGACTTTGAAGTGTTGATTAGTCCATCTCTTCTTTCAGTACAGATTGTTATGCTACAAAGGCTTGAAATTATTTCAGATCATAGAATCACAAAATGTTTTTTGTTGGAAAAGACCTTTAAGATCATTGACTCCAGCCACTGAACCAGCCCTAAGTCTACCATTAGACTATGTCTCCAAACACAACATCTGCTTATCTTTTAAACACCTCCAGAGATAGTGACTCAACCACCTTCCTGGGCAGCATGTTCCAGTGCTTGACAACTCTTACAGTAGAGAAATTCCTCCTAATATCCAACCTAAACCTCCCCTGGTGCAACTTGAGGCTGTTACTCCTTGTCTTATCACTAGCTACCAGGGAGAAGAGACTGACCCCCACCTCGCTACCCACTCCTTTCAGGTAGTTGTAGAGAGTGATAAGGTCTCCCCTCAGCCTCCTCTTCTCTAGACTAAACCACCCTAGCTCCCTCAGCTGCTTCTTATAAGACTTGTGCTCTAAACCCTTCACCAGCTTTGTTAACCTTCTCTGGACATACTTGGGTATCTCAGTGTCCTTTTTGTAGTGAGGGGCCAAAAACTGCATGCAGTATTTGAGGTGCAGCCTCACTGGTGCCAAGTACAGGGGAAGGATCACTCCCCTGATCCTGCTGGCCACACTACTCTTGATGCAAGCAAGCATGCACAGTGCTGGCTTGTATTCAGCTGATTGTTAATCAACACCCCCAGGTCCTTCTTCTCTGGGCAGCTCTCCAGCTACTCATCCCCAGGCCTGTAGCACTGTATGGTGGTGGTGTGACCCAAGTGCACGATCCAGCACTTGGTCTTGCAGAACCTCATGCAATTGGCCTTGGCCCATTGATCCAGCCTGTCCAGGTCCCACTGCAGAGCCTTCCTACCCTCAGGCAGATCAACACTCCCTCCCAACTTAGTGTCATCTGCAAACTTAGGGAGCACTTGATTCCCTTATTCATGTAATTGATAAATATATTAAAATAGGAGTACTGGAGCCCTGGGGAACACTGGATTTAACTCCATTCACCACAACTCTTTGGGCCAGTGTTTTATCTAGTGAAGCATATAAGGTGCTTCATCACACCAACACATAACAGGGAGGTTGGAACTAAAATAATCTTTATGGTCCCTTCCAACCCAAACTATTTTATGATTCTATTTAATTCTAAAATATTGGTCCCTCATATTCCTTACATAGCTAAACTTTGTTTCTTAGCCTGGATTGTTCAGATTAAGTTCTGTACATTAGATATCACACTGTTATGCTTACGTTAAATCAGCTTTATTTTTCCTTTTTGTAATCAAGGTGAACTGGAAATGTTTCTGTTTTGCCTGAACATAGAACACACAGATGTGTCAGAACATCCATTATTTGATGCATTTTGCAGTTAGAGAAAGGCCAGTTTGCATAATGGGAAACTTAGCAAGTCAACAATAGTAATAGAGCCGTAGTCAAATGAAACTGTGGAATGGACCCAGTGCTGATGCATATAAAGAGAGAACTGAAAAACTTCTAGGCTTCCAGCTTCACTGACTCCAGTATGGAACGTGCTTCTTTATACTCTTCGGCTTCTTCCAATTCTTTTTCATTTTCCTAGAATCAAAAACAAAATTTCTGAGTACTTTGAAAATAACTGACATTGGATAAAACTTAAGGTAACTATGGAAAAAACCTGGTAACAACAGATGAGTAACATTGTAACAACTTTTTTGCCTCAGTCTTTATTTGCAACCTGTTTTCTCATACCTCTTGTGGATAGACTGCAAGACAGGGACTGGGAGAGCAAAGTTCCCCCCCACTGCAAAAGAAAATCAGGTTTGAGACCACCTGAGGAACCTGAACATACATAAGTCTATGGGACCTGACAAGATGCATCCCAGCATCCTGAGGGAGCTGGCTGATGTAGTTGCCAAGCCACTGTGTAGTTTCCAAGCCATCTTCCCTGATATTTGAAAAGTCATGGCAGTCAGGTGAAGTCCCTGGTGACTGGAAAAAGAGAATCACTGCACCCATTTTTAAAAAGAGTAGAAAGGAGGAGCCTGGGAACTACTGACCTGTCAGCCTCACCTCTGTGTCTGGGAACATCAGGGAAGAGATCCTCCTAGAAGCTATATTAAGGCACACAGAGAACAGAGAGATGATTCAACACAGCCAGCATAGCTTCACCAAGGGCAAGTCCTGCCTGACCAACCTAGTGGCTTTCTACAATGGAGTGACTATTATCAGTGGATAATGGAAGAGCAATGGATGTCACCCGTCTGGACTTCTGTAATGCCTTTGAAACAGTCCCCCACAACATCCTTCTCTGAACTGGAGAGAGATTTGACAGATGGACTGTTCAGTGGATAAGGAAATGGTTGGATGATCACATCCAGAGGGTAGTGGTCAATGGCTCATTGTCTGGATGGAGATTAGTGATGAGTGGTGTCCCTCTGGGGTCCATACTGGGACCAGTACTGTTTAGTATCTTCATCAGTGACAGATTGACAGTGGGATCACAAACACCTGCAGCAAGTTTGCAGGTGACACCAAGTTGAGTGGTATGATTGACATGCCTGAGGGACCTGGACAAGCTGGTGAAGTGGGACCATGTGAACCTCATGAGGTTCAACAAGGCCAACTAGAAGGTCCTGCACATGGGTTGGGGAACTGTACTGACAGGCTGGGGGATGAAGGGGTTGAAAGCAGCCCTGCAAGGAAGTATTTGGGAGTACTGGTGAATGAAAAACTAGACATGAGCCAGTAATGTGTGCTCACAGCACAAAAAGCCAAACATATCCTGGGCTGCAAAAAAACACATGGCCAGCAGGTTGAAGGAGGTGATTCTGACCCTCTTCTCCACTCTGATGAGACCCCACCTAGAGTACTGCATTCAGCTCTGGAGTCTTCAGAACAAGACAGACATGGACCCATTGGAGTGGGACCAGAGGAGGCCACAAAAATGCTCAGAGGGATGGAACATCTCTCCTATAAGGACAGGCTGAGAGAGATGAGGTTGTTCAGCCTAGCGAAGAGAAGGCTCCATGGAGACCTTATTCCAGTTTTCCAGTACTTTAAGAGGTAAGCACTGAAGGTGAGCTAAGCACAGAAGGCAATTCTTGTAAACAACCGAATTCTTAAAAACAGTAGTATCTTTACCTATTCCTTGTTTCAAGTTTGTACAGCACACTATATGGATCAATAGCACCACATCTGCATGCCACTGAAATCTGGACCAGCTAACTATTAAGTAACTAGCTGAATGACAAATGAACCTTAAGTCCTGCCAGGTACTTTTAGTGCCAGGTGAGTATCTATTTTGGAAAAGAGTAGAGGCATACTACCTGAAGATAAAACACCTTGAGTTTTCCTTTGAGAAGAGATTTGCATCGTAGCCATCAAATGTGTCTGGGGCTTAATTTAGGGTATGTATTTTTAGCCTCACAGTGGTAATGTGTAGCTTAATTCTTGATGAGAAGGTAGCTTTTAGAATAGGCATGATTATCTTCACACTTAGTATAGTTTCAGTTAATCTATTTGTACAAGATAATATTTATTTCTGCAGGTATCTGTATCTTAAAATGTGGCACTAGTGCTTACCTGATTAATAAAATATAAAGCAGTACTCAGCAAGGATTCAGCTGTCTTGTTTCTTGTCCATACCATAATAAACATAGTAATGAAAATACTTTGCTTATTTCAGTTCACTACAAGCATATTATATACATGTACACTATCTAGAAAACTACCTGAAGTGGGTGAACTACTTTTTCTGATCATGTAACCGTACTGTGAGCACTGGAACAGGCTGCCCAGAGAGCTTGTGGATTCTTCTTCTCTGGAGACATTCAAAACCTGCCTGGATGTGTTCCTGTGAGACCCAGTCTAGGTGATCCTGCTCTGGCAAGGGGATTTGACTGGGTGATCTTCAGAGGTCCTTTCCAACTCCTAACATTCTGTGACCTAGCACAGGAATTCAGAGTCCATTCTAGCAGTTCAGGTGTGTATTGAGTGCACATTCTGTTAAAGACAGCTTCTAATACTCTAACACACACAGTCTTCATAGACTGAAGACTAAGCCTGCAAAGGCAGTTACCTGAAATGAAGTATTGGTATGTTATAGGATGCTAGCCTTGGGACTTAGAAAATGTAATTCTTCAATCCAGTTCTATTATATTTCAACTGCACTGCAGACAAGCGTGTTTATCCAAGTTCATCAAGGAACAGCAGCATTTCTTGATCAGTGGGTTATGGTGCTATACTTACTAGTAGTTGAGTAAGATCTGCATGTGCAACTTCTAATCTGCGCTGGCAGTCTGGAATCATCATTCGTGACTCTTGTAAGATCTCAATCTGTAAGAATTAGAAGCCAGTAAAATGAAAATGTATTCCACATAGGAACAATTTTTAAGGTAAGTCTTTACTCTGAAAAATCCGTAGTCCAGTCATTATCTAGGAACTTCGGAACAGTTGTATGTACTTTCTGAATAAGTTTCTTTATTAAAAGACAACACTTAGCATAATTGCTTAAAACTCTTGTTAGCTTACTTTGTGCTTACTTAAGTATAAACTATGAAGTGCAAGAGAGTATTTAGAATAATTTTTCCCTTAGGAAAAAAAGTACTACCTGATAAGCTTTCCATACAGCATTTGTTAAAAAGGCTATTTAAAACAAACTTTCTCCTTGCTAACTTTCTCCTGCTGTCTTCAAGCAGCTTCATCCAAAATGGGATCAGCTGGTTATATAAATATCTCCTGCATCTTTTGGGTAATAAAGAAAAACAGTGTTCAGGTAATACCACATAGAGATAATTACTGCATGAAAAAAGTTATTGAGTTATTGATCACATTGTGTGCACACTGCAGGAGGCTCTGACTGAAAGACAAAGGTAAAGAAAAATGAAAAGCAAAGACCAGCAGGTTCATATTTTTGATGCTTATCATGCATAAAAAGTTATTACTTCTCCTTGCGCTTCATTTTAGGAGAAAGATTATTCTCACCATGCTCTTTGAACAAAATTACTAAACTGGCACCCCACTGAATCTGAACATCCTGCCTCCTCCTACAGGAAACAACTTCAGATTTAAACAAGAGAACATTTATTTCATGGAACATTTCTGGAACTGAAATCCAACCACTGAGAATAAAAGAGATGCAGATTTGTTCAGTAATGCTAAATCTATATAGAAATTAAAATCTGTTAAATATTTAAATATGTCTTCTGCATTCAGGATAACCTGCAACAGAAGGTGTTCCCTTTAAATGGCTTACTTCATTCTGTCATTCTGATGTATTCTCCTTTCAGTATTAATGCTGCTATACTGAAGGGTCATTGTAAAAGGAAAGATAACCCATAGCTAAGAATGTATTCACACATTCAGGAAGGTTTTATGTAGTAAGACATTATTAGCAAGTTTTGTGTGTCATATACTTAAGTTCTTAGTTCAAGTAATTTTTGAGATAAAGGGTTTAAAAACTGTTTCTAATTTTCTTTCAGAGAATCTAGAGCAAAACCTGTGTAATGAAGCAAAGATGGGTGACAAATGTTAAAAAAAAAAAGTTAAGCACCCCAAGTTCTAGTTCTCACTGCTATTACAACTTTTAAAAATTCAGTGTTGGACTGTATTAAAAATAGGACTAAAACCTCCGCATATTACACTCTCAGCAGTGAATGAATAAATAAAGGTTTGTAACTTCCATGGAATGAGGTGTGCCATAGACCACATGAGATTATTCCTTCTGCTTCCTGTAGAAGAAACTCATTCTATAAGGAACACCTACAGGAGTGAGAATATCCAAGTATGACTTCCTTGGGCCAGCATCCCTAAATAGTTGTGTACTGTAAAGCTGGTAGATTATATGAAAAGCAGTAATATATTTTATATATACCACTCAATAAACAATCTGGGAAGGCAGATAAATCTAGGATCTGTAAGCTGTAGTCCTGGGTGCTATAAGAACTCAACTGCCAGCTACCCTAGTTGGTCACTGCCTCAGCTCAAGATGGCTTGAGTTCACAGGAACCATAAGCTGCCCCACAGTACATGGAGTTAGGAGAAAAATACTCAAACTCTTTAACTGTTGTTCTACAAGGGGACTGATCCCTCCTTATAGACCGAACACACCCCGAAGTCTACATACAGTGTAGGAATTACATTCTTAGTTTTAAAATACAATTTCCTGTAGTCACTTCTGTACTGTTAAACTGTTCTACTGCAGAGTTGTAACTAGAAAGCTAAATGGGAATAGTAGTACATTAAGAGGTAAGCAATGCTTTTAAGCATCCCCCCCTCAACTCTGGATTGATTTGTATATACATACCCAATTTAGCCAACACCTCAGCTGAAATAATAATTATTTTCTTAGTCTTAAATGATTAATTCCCAGCCACCAAATGTTACATTTCATTATTGAAATAAAAGACTACAACCATAGGAATTATTAACTAAAAGCAATTATTAAAGTGTGTAACTGTAAACATTTTTCCTGAAGAACTTCTCAAAGTATTAACTCTATCCAAAATAAGTTTTTTAGCAAACTCTTCTGGTACTATACAATTTTCTTTAGAGCAATAGATTTGATCCTATAGAAAGTGTGTGTATTCCTTCTGAGCCTCCAAATTCTTCATAACCTAAAATATTAACAACTTCCAGAATGCAAAGTGCACTAAAAGACCAATGAAGATGTAATTGGAGAAACTGATTGCTTTCAAAGCAGATCAGGCAATTTCTGAATTAATCAAGACTGTTCTCCGTGAAGGCTTTTCTCATTGGTCTTCGAGAATACCTTCCAGTAGTGTGTAACATTTCATTTCACAGCAGAAGTTCAGAGCCTCCACTGTTTTTGACTTTCATGATATTCTGCAGGTCACTGCGGAAATACCATGGTGCAGTCAAATAATCTGATGAATGGGGGACACTAAAAATGGGAATTGCATTCATTAATTCTTGTTAGCACCAGCAGATCTTCAGAAAGACTACTATTTTGTAGGACTTTGCAGTCTCAGTGGTGAGGCAGACACAGCTCAGGTCTAGAAATACAGTTCTTCATTTGTACACAAATTCTTTATTTGTAGTTCTTTCCCATGGCATAATGAGAGAAAGGCAGGACATACACACACAAACTGAAATCTGAACTTAATTAAAAAGTTGTTTTAGCTTGCTCTAAAAGGGCTTTCTCCTATCTTACTTTCGTTTTTCTCTTTTTTTTAAATATAGTTCTGTTTAACGTCTTCTCCCATTGTTAAAAAATTAAGATGGGAGAACAGTAGGTTTTACAGCATGATGCCACCAGACTACTGAAACAAGTGAAAATAATTTTTATTTACAGTGTCCGTTTCTGTGAAGATTTAAGAGAAAACATCTGGGAAATGCTCAGGGAAAATACATATAAGTTAATGTATCTAGCTGAAAGAATATAAAAGTTGCAGTTAAACACAGATATGCCAAACTTCAATAAAGAATAAACACAAATCTCCCAAACCCAAGCCTTTTCTCGGTGACAAGGAAACTTGACCCTCCTTCTCCTTCCAGAAGGGCATATACCAACTGTCAGACACCACTGTCCTTTTGGGGTAATCTTCCAAGTAAAATGTAATTGTATTGTAATAATGACACTAAACCATACTCTTGAGCAGATGAAACTACAGCACACACCTTGCTAGCCAGTGACTACACTACACACTCCTAGGCTTTTATAATTGACAGAAATTTAATACAGTATTTATAAAACAGAAGTCTGGAAAAGGTTCAGGAGAGTCTTTTATTTAAGTGTGACTGTGATTAAATGCAAATAAAGAAGGATTTTGTAAAACAAGTTCTAGGATAGTTTACCTGCTTCTTAATTCCATAATCATCACATGCTTCAGCTTTCATTTTTTCAATCTTTTCTTCTTGCTGTTTTGCTTCTTTTTCATACATAACTTTTTCTTTTGCCAATCTGCAATTAAACCAAGTGATTGTGTCAATCTGGTTCTATTACAGTAAAAATTTACACCACTGATTACAACTTCCCACTGGAAAGGTGCAGCACTATAAGATAATACAGTTTCATGAAAAAAGGCTATTAACCACTGCAAAAAACTGCACCTAGGAAATGCTGAATTTAGCTATAATGTATAATGATTCTTATGAGAATAATTTAAATTTAAAAAAATTTTTAAGATTCTGTATGGTTTTATCCATACAGAATATCCTAAAAAAGTTATATATTGGTACTTGATTTCAAATACATAACAGAAAGAGTTAACCTGCCTTGTAGAACTAGATGACCACTAATAAAGACAGTAATACAGAGAAGACAGCTATTTCAGAAAAGTCCTCATGTCATAGGTAGCAAACCCAAACAATATTAACATGTCTGCAAAGACAACATTATTATAATCAGCTTTTAGATCAGCATTTGCCAGTGTTTCTCAACATCACTGAGGTTCTGATAGCTTTGCAAGTAACATGTATTGGCTGGTACAATCATGCGGTCTTTCCTCATTCACTACCTAATACCACCACTGCACTTGGATTATTAGATGAATAATGACAGACATCCTATTTAGCAGTAACTTTGAAAAAAGTTACCACATGTAAATGAAAAGAAACAGCACTTTCATGTTCATAAACTGTGATCCCAGAACATTTTTTTTCCCTGATCATTGCATTTCAGGCCATTAAATGCATTATTTCCCATACTAGTTTTGTACAAAATAATGAAAAGTAAAATTCCCAAATCACACAGTAGCCTCATAGTCTTGTGTTCCTTTGAGTATTTTCTTCATTCACCTTAATGCTGGTTTGGGGGTTACAGAAAAAAGTAACAGCTCCATAATTTACATTATATTTTCTTTATGGCCTATCTTTCAAAGGAAAAATAATACATCTTTTAATCCTAATAATGGACCCATACTTGGGAGCAAGATTCTCTTTGCTAAGAAAGTATAGATTCAAGAGTAAACAACTGTGAAGGTCAGAAAGGAATTAAGGTAGTCCAGTCTGATGTCCTACAGTAATTTTTACACTGCAAGCCCATTATCAAACTTTACTTCTTGTTGTTACTACAATTTTGCTGTTGCATCTCTCACTTTGTTACATATGTTCATTAGGTATCTGTTGGATTATGTAATGCTAGATCTGAAACAAAACATCTTTCAGGATCCGGAGAATAACAAAGTAATTTCTGATCAGCTAATTCAGGACCAAAACAAAGGCTGAGATGCTACTGCAAACCTGAGAGCATGCCAAAGAAAATCCTTCCCTAAACAAAAATAAATGTAAGATCAGCCTACATAAGGTTGTTTAAAGAGAATTTAACAGCCAAAAGAACATAATGAGATCCAAGAAGCAAAGAATATATTATACAAATGGAAAGAGAATAAATAAAGGTCTAGTAGAAAGCTTCATGGTCACATTAACACACCAGAGCAAATTAATTCCTAATTTATCACAGTTAAGTGCCCTGATAGAAGTGCTGCTAAGGATGGACAGAATGGTACTGGGGTGACGTGAACCTTTTGTGAACGGAAGCTGCCACAAAAGCACCACTGGAGTAGTATGTTGAGAAAAATTCCGAAGAGAATGTACTGATACTGCAACAGCAGTGCTTTTGTTAGAGTTTACATAATCAAAAATTGTCTTCCTAAAATAGCCTGAAGCTGTGGCTCCACAACAGTTGATCTAAGCTGGGCTATGGCCACACACCTGAAGTCACTTCAACCCTTGTGGAGTCACACCACCAGACACGGTCTTCAAAAGAAGCTTTAACAGCCTGTAGAGCGTGTACTGTAGGTATTGTCTAGGCCAGTTTCTACACATCAGCCAAGTGCTAGCTTTGAGAAGTAGCACTGGGGAAAGACAGCAGTCTAATTATTGCTAATAAAGACACTAAATCAGTGGCTGTTACTTCAACTACTGGAACTAGCTCCAGTATTAGCATCAGCAAATATTGATTTAATAGAGGATAAGTTAATTGTTTGATCAAGGTTACTTGATTTAATTCCAGACAGTATTATTTGCTTTGCTATTTTTAGGTTCCAAAAAAGTTAATTTTAATCAACTTGTGAGATAGATGGGTTTGGGGTTTTTTGAGTGAAAACGAGAAATTCCCTTGAGAAGCAAGAGGAAAAGAGAGATGATTAAATGTAGTTTTTATGTTGATTCCCTTACTCAAGTGTGTATGCCACTGAAACTAAAGGCAACTTGCACTGCTAAAACCAGCATTTGAAATTATTTTAATTTTTAGCTAAAAGGCACATTTTTCATTAATTATGTTTTTACATTACATCTTCACATTCACAGCTCCCTGTACGCACACTAACTTTTCAAAGTGACTGCTAATCAAGTTGCTTACTTTTCTCAAACAGGAAAGGACTGCATGTTCTGGCCTAATTGAGAACTAAATGTAACTTGATTTTTTTGCCGACCCTTCTGCTATCTGGATACATAAGAATTGCATCAGTATTTACCTACCTATTCCTATTTCTCTAGTAATTGTACATTTCAGTAACATAACTTGAAATGTTCTTTCAAAAAAGGAAACACATGAAACCTGAAAGACCAGACCATCCTCTATGACAAATTTTCCACATGCTTTCAGTAATCAGAATTGTCCAATTTAATGTTCTATTTATCATTCATAAGAGTGGGATGCTGATGTTTAATGCTATTAAGAAGTTCTGATTTGAAAATATTTCCTGTACTAGGGCCTTCCTCTAGATGTCATGAAGCCATTTCAACTCAAAACGTAGCTTGAGGAGATGCTAAATTAAATCAAGTTTGCTTTCAAAACTAAAGTGATATTTCATAATGGAGCAGTACCACCCCTTACTCACCTTTTAAAAGTTTCAGCAGAATTTTACATAAAAATACCCACATGATACTTTGTTCCTCTCTTCTTCCTTCACCCTTTGTCTTTCTAGAAAGAAGAATCCAGGTTGTTGGTTTTTGGGTTTTGTTTTGGTTTTTTAGTTTGGGAAGGTGTGAGGTTTTGTGGTTGGTTTGGTTTTTTGGTTGTTTTTTTGTGTGTGTTTGTGGGGTTTTGTTTGTTTGTTTCCAAAAAAAGATTAAAATGGATAAAAACCCAGAATCTTTATATATGGTGTGATCATACACAGTGATTCGAGTGCCATAATAAATATAAGCTGCAGTAACTTTAATTGTAAGAATCCAAAATAAAAAAAGGAACCAAAGTAGATAGCTTTTATCATAGTTGTATACTGCACATATATGCACGTAACTTGTACATTACACATATATACTTGTAGATGTGTAATAAGCCTTTATTCTACAATAGACAGTTCCTTGAAATATCCTTGCTCCTTGAAACAATCTGTCACTTGTATCCATCTAAAACCATATGGTTCTCCTTTTTTCAGCTACCCAATATCCTCCATACTGTAATAGCTCTGCAAATAAACCAAACATTTATTACCAGAAAGTTCTGTACATGGTAAGGCACACTGTGTTAACAAATACTGTCAGCCCTATGACCTATGGCTTGGTCTCCAAGTTAGGAATCTAAATCTCCATTGTAGGAGTTGTTCTTCTCTTTGCTAAAAACAAGCGTGTTTTTTAGTAGTCTGTAAAGAGAACTTGGATGGATATCAATAGCAGAGAAAGGTACTCACCCTTCATGAAAGAAAAATTTTAGCTTTGACCACCGGATAGAAATTCTGTCTTTCGTGCACTCCAAGTAAAAAAATGGGCTACCTTGAAATGCTACTGCATTTTTCAAATTTTTCTGAAGTGACATCAGAAAGTGGAAATGAAGTCACTAGATATATTGCCTTCAGTAAAAAGCTGAACTTGAGCTGAAACAAGAGTGATTTAAAGTGTAATACACAAAGAAAATATAAAAACCAGTTACAGGTAAGCAATAATAGCACACCTGTAAGATGACTGCGTATTCTGTATGATCAGAATGAGTGCATTAATTTTGGTATACAAGTTCATGGTGAATATTTCATTCAGAAAAGTCTCTACAAAGCTCCATAAAGCATATTTCAGAGTAAACGTATCACACAGATCAACACTGAACTGACCTCAAAAATAACTACAGCTTTGGTTCAACACATCAAAAAATTCCCTGTTGTCTCCTTTCAAACTCAAAAGGCTAGGAGATGACATTCATTCCTTGCTATGTACCACTCGGATAGACCTGGATATTGAGATGTATTTTATACAGATGAAAACTCAAATGAGACTTCACGTAGTTGAAAACAAGGTTACCTTTAGCTTTTTAACTTGAAATATTTCCCAGAAGCTGAACATTGCGTGTGAACAATTCTTGAATTCTTTGTGGAGATTTTCACACTGTGTGTCACAATTACTGAATGAGCCAAGATTTTTTTCCATACTTATTTGCTGTGTACAAAGTCTGTCTGTACAAAAATATAAAGCCTTGCCAGAGTAATGGATGGAAGTAGCAAAATAAACATTTGTATTGCTCTTTCAACAGGTTCCCCAACCTGTGACCCAAAACCAATTTTATCCCATGAACTGGTTTGGCAATTATACCCAGTTAGTCAAATAAGAGGTATTATCTGAAACCTGGCTCTGCCTTTTTTATTTGTAGAAGGGCAATGTCAGATATGCACCAATTTCAGTCTCCAAGCCTGTGATGGCTCTAAACTACAGCCAGTTTTATTTTTATACCAACACTACAAATCCAGCCATTTGCAATCCAGCTGCATGCTCATTAGCTGCGAACCGTAGCGGTTCATTTTTTTTTATTTCTGCTCATTCTACTAATCTCCTGTCTTTACTCCATTTATTTGCCACTTTTGCTGCTGCTCCTCCACAAAATACAACACTGCCCTTTCTAAGATTAATTGATCATCAATTTAATCCTAATTTGGACCAAGTCAGGTGGTAAATGGACCACTTTTGCTTGATTGTTAGTGAAATGTGTGCAAGCACATTGATAAATTTTGATTATTTATCAATTA